AAAGTAAATATTTTATCAATTAAAAATATCTCTAAAAATTTTTTAACTATCTATTTTTTACAGAAAAAAAATTTGAAACAAAGCCTAAAATTTTATAATTTTATTTTTTTATTAATTAAAGCTTATTACAAACAATTTCATAAATATTCTTGTAAGAATTAAAAAAAAAAGTAGAAATCAATTAAAAATTTTTTCAACCGATAATATCAATCAGCCTGACGTAGAATAATAAAAAAACGACATGGGGATCAAAGAGTAATAATACTATACATAAATAGTAATAGTAATACGACGATTAAAAGGTGCAGGTGTGAGTCATGCGATTCTAGTTTCCAACAGAATAGAAGCAGAAGCAGAAACAGAACTAAACTAAACGTGTACAGTATCAGAATAAGTATACGTCTAAGTACTATTATATACAGCGGTAGTAGTTGTGGGTTTCCGGGTCGCTCGTCCACGAAAAACAAGGACACATTCTCGCGCTTGAAATTTCATATTATACTTCAATTTAACTCGCGCGTACAAAATTCTAGGATTAGTAATACAACTGAGTTAATGCAGCTTAATTGAAATATTTATTAATTTAATTAAATCAGGTGAATAGTCCAAATTCTTTGTTGAATTTTATTTAATGAAAAAAATCAATTTCATCATTTTAATTTTAGTATAAAAATTGAATTAATTTTTTGATTTAAGAATTTTTCATATTAATTTTTTTTCAATTCATATTTCGATGTTCTAATTAGCAAATTGTCCAACTCAATTTTAAAGAAGCTTTCATTTGTACGCAAAAACAATTAGTTCAAAATTTATTATTATTTTAAAAAAATTATTTAATATCTAATAGAGGTATAATGTTTTGGTTTAGATTATTCAAATAATTTATAATTGGACTATTACTGCATCAAAATGTTAAAAAATTACCCTCTAAAAAATAAGGAGTTAGACCAATTGCTAATTAGACTTTCGATTTAAAAAATGTATCCAATTTTCAGTCTAAAAAATAAAGTAAATTCTATTTTATAATTAAAAAATAATTAAAATTGACGCTAAAAAATTTTCACCTAATTAAATTAATTAATAAAACTTATATTTTGTATTTTTGATATTTCGGAGCGCATTATTACGTTTTTCTGCGCGGCTACTCTACCGACACCATTATATTACACCATTACACCTAACTACTTAATATTATTATTATATTAAATTAGCTACGTTTTGCGATTAGTGATTCTCTATGTACAATGTACTAAGTAATACGTAAAATGTACAATGTAGTGTAGATAGGAGCGCTCAGCTCACACTCAGCCCACACCAACAATATTTATACTCACATGCTAACACATACCTTCATACTCAATACACTTAATACTAATATACATATGCAAAGTAGTGTAGCAACTACACTAGCCAGTTACGCAACCCAGCCATCCCGATTTATTTTCGTCATAGAAAAACCAGTGCAGCGCCCGAGAAACGCCTGCTCCGTGCTCTCATATACTGTCCCCCTTTTTTATTTTTCTTTTATTTACTCTCGTGTCGTAACTTAATGCTAAATTTAAATAAATAACACTGATTCAATTTTTAGTTTAAGGGACACTAATTAACCTTAGTCTATTACATTGAGAATTAGGCTCTAGATTTTTGTTATTATTATTGCTTGAGTAAATTTATAAAATTCAATTCGGTAATTGTTGGATATTATTTGTTAGAATTTTTTTATTTACGCGGCATTTATATCATTTAAAACGCGCTTATATTATAAACATAATTATTATTCATGTATCGTCATTGACGCAACGCATTCATCAAATATGCGGCCTCGTAATTTCTAAAACGCTTCGGTAGCAAACTACTGAATTATCTATTATATGTTGTGGATATATGATGGAATAAAATCTAATGAAATTCAATAAAATGGATTTTGTTGTTTTTTTATTGATATGATACCAAGTAGCAGATGACTGTTGGATGTTTTATTTTTATTACTGGATACTGGAAATAGAAATTTAATAAAGCTATAAGATAAATAGATCATTATTATTATTATTATTTAATTAATTCCATAATTTATTAAGAAGAAATGATTAAAATTAATTAAAGATTAAAATTAAAAAAAAGCATGTGGAAAATTTTGAAATAAATTTTTGACAGTAATTTATTTTGTATTAAGTTTAGTTTTTTTTTTTTTTTAATAAAAATTAAAATTACAATAATAAAACTTACAATCTATTAAATATAAATACAATTAGAATTTTTAATACAATATTTTAATAAAAAGTGGTAAAATATATTTTTAAAATAATTTAATTAAAATGAATTTTAATTTAAAAGATTTTATTTAAGAAAATATTTCATTTTTACATTAAAAGTATCACAATTTAAAGAAATTTTCTCTTTCTAGTATCAAGTAACAGATTTCTTTAAATTGAACATAAAAAAATAATTTTAAAAGAAAAGTAATTAAAATTTTTAAAATTTGATTTATAATCTATAAAAAATTTTCAATACTAAATTTAGCCGACATTTTTAATTTTTTTATTTTTTATCCAATAATTAGAACAAAAACATATTTTTTAAAAATTGCACTTAAAGTTATTAAAATTTTTTACAAATGCAATTTATTTAATAAAAAAAATTCTAAAAATTTTTAGATGACAACTAACTTAATTATCATAAAATTGTCAACTCTTTTTCTTCAACTTTAAAAACATTAAACTCTACTTAAACAATTACAAAATTTCAAAACTTTGCCAATAATTTATTTCCGCAACAAATATATTAAAAAAATTGATTAAAATTTCTATTATTGCGCTCTTAGTTAAATAAATCATAAATAAAATAAAAAGTGCATCTGCTACTTGTCATCCCATCAATAACAAATTTTGACGCGCGACTTCCCAAAAGCTCGGTCTCTTTCTTACCGACCCTGCGTGAAAGATTTGTTAAATGCGTGCAATATCCAAAAGTATGAGCAAATCAGTAGCCTCGACACGTGAGATCGTTTTCGATCATGCAATTTCTGATGATGCTCCCTTATGCGTGTATATATAGAAATGAAAATGTACCAGGACCGTCAGTCGATCTGTATCGCGTCCGCGACTCAACTAGTTACTCGCCTCGTACTCGATATAAATAATTCAATTAAATCGTTATAATTATCCTATAATCAGTTAATAGTAATCACTCTATTGAGATGTTTAATTGCGAGCTCCACGTGTAAGGACAGTAAAACTAAAAAAAAATAGTAAATAAAAAAAAATAAAAAACTAAAAGCGGTAATTGTAATAATTATCGTCATTCGAAAAGTACTGTTTTGTGTAAATTGAATAGTTTAGTTGTTTGATAGTCACTCAGTTTGAAACTTGGCACAAGTATTTTCACATAAGCCAACTTAACTAGGATTGTGTAATAACGTCTTGTCGTGGTCGTCGTTTGGCCTCGCACGCGCCATGGCTCTGCTCAGTAAACTTTATTCTACTTGCCCGTTCGCGATCGCCACCTCTACAGTCATACCCTATTATTATTATTATTATTATTATTATTATTATTATTATTATTACTATTAAACATACGTACATACATACAGACAAACTTAGCACGTAACACACCAACACATGAAAAACGATCGTCTCCCCGGGATCTCGCTACTACAACTCGCGTTTTGATCGCGTTCTCACTTACGCTCATCTAGTATTCCTCTAGTCGCCAACCAAGAGCTAGCTGCAGCTCACTGTCACTTTATTTCCATTAACATTTATTAAAAACACATTTATTTATTATCTGACGATTTTTAAAGATAATTGGTTTTTTTATTTACAAATTAGTTTACAACCAAAGTTTTACACGTGCGTTTTTATAAGAGTGTTAATTCAGTTTATCATTTTTGAATTATTAATAAATTAATTTGATTTTTTAATTTATTAAATATTTTATCTTAAAAAAAAAAAAATTAGAAAAATTAGTCTTAAAAATTACTAATTTTTTATTAAAAAAAAATTGGACAGTTTTTTTTAAATAATTTATTTTAAAAAAATAAAAAATTAGTTTTTTTTTACTAAAAAAAAAAATTGAACAGTTTTTTAAAATAATTTATCTAAAAAAATTATTGTTTTTTTTATTAAAAAAAATTAGTTTTTAATTAAAAAAACGAAAATAAATAAATTTTACATATTTGTTTTTTTTAATAAAAAAAATTGTTTTTAAATAAAAAAAACATATTGATTTTTTTTTATTAAAAAAAAAAAAATTGCACGGTTTTTTAAATAAATTTTTTAGTCAAAAAAATCGTCAGATATTTTTAATCTCATAGAAGACTTTTGAAAAAATAAATAAAAAAAAAAAAAAATAGGAGTGAGTGAGAACTAAACTCATTGTGCAGTGGGTCAGTTTTTAAATAACCGATCGGGAAATAATGAGTTTATCGTTTGTTACTGATCGCAACAATAAAAAAAAAGTACCGAGTGTATGTAGAATGTAGATTAAGAAAAAGGGGAGTAGAGAAAAAGAAAAAGAAAAGCTTTGGTACAGTACTATTATTAGTGCACTCGCGATCGTGCCAATGGTGTCAGAATCGTTTGTTATTTTCTCGCTAATTAACGTCAATTACCTAGCACTTAATTATTGTTACTGCCTTACAACTAAAACTTAAAAGTTTAAAGTTAAAATCTCGAGTAATTTTTGATACTTATCAGCAGATAAACAGATCGCGGTTTTTACCAAGTGCTTTCCGTAAAATTAACACGAGCCAGTGAGCCGTTTCGTAATGAAGTAATTAGAAAAAAGAAAATATGCATTAGCGTCAATTGAGTACGAGGTTAGACCGTGGGAGTGGTCGACCGGAAGTTTACTCGTTCTCTTCGGTGACAGAATAAACACCGGGCAAACACCAAACTTACTAACGAATAAATAAATAAATTAGTTGGTAATTAAAATAATTATTATTAAGGGAGGGAAGAAAAGTGTCGAGTGAAAGAGAAAGAGAAATAGAATAGTGGCAGTTGGGGCTCGTGCCAGATGCGCGTTTACACGGGCCCTGAATACTGTAAATGCACTATCTGGTACGACATCTCTTCTGTCATTGTCACCAAATTGTCAACCTGTTATTATTGTACCGGCTCCACTGGTGATCTGACAACTTCCTTATCCTTAAATCTCCTAAATATTCTTTTTTATAGTTTATTATTATTATTATTATTATTATTATTTTAGAATTTATTAATAAATTTATTTAGAATTTATTATTAAATTTATTATTGTTGTTATCATTGTCATTATTTAATGTTTTTATTTCTTAGCCTTAACTTTAGAAAGGACAAACCACGTCCTTGCCACACCCTTCAATACACTCTGTTCATATTTATTTTCTTACACTGTATTTTGTATTCTGTAATTCATTAAGATATTGAGGTCATGTTTTATTATTGTTTTTGTTTTCATTACATTGTATACTTTTATTGTTATTAAAGTATTTTTAATAAATTACTTTTATATTATTGTTTACTGTAGTTACTTTTTATTTATTATTATTAAACTAAAAATAGCGGACACTTATTTTTTTATTAAAAAAACTTTTATTTGAAGAATACTATTTAATTCAAATTTTACAATTTAATGTTAATTAATTAATTTATAATTAAAAAAATTTAGATTTTAAATAATGAGAAAAATTTAATGGATTATAATTATTGTAAAAAAATTTTTGTCTGCTATTTGTGGTAATTTTTAAGGTTTATTATTACAGATTTAAGAAGAAATTTTGGAGAAGAAAAGAAAAAAATTGTAATATATTTTAAATAAAAATTGAAGAATTTTAATTGTGATTTAAATCATTCATTTCACCTGCGCCTTTCATTGTTTTATTTTTAATTAATTATAAAAAATTTTCTAAGAGAATTTAAAAAATTTTAATTTTTTTTGTTAGTTTTTAAAATAATTAAAAATTTTTTAAATAAATTATCAGATGTCTCGTTTAATTATAATTTAAAATAAATAAAATGTAAATATTTACCCCGAATAAAATTGAATAAATAAAAGATAATCTCATCAAAAAAGCGTTTCATTTTCACAAATTTATTCACCCCATTTTCACCCTTCACAATTAATTTTAATTTACAATTTATAATTGATATTAATAAAAGCAGCAATTATTTTTAAGTTCTAAATATTTTTTAGAAATATTGGTAGCTAAATAAAGGTGAAGGTGTAAGGACAAGCGGAATACAAGATACTTAAAATGTAGCAAGAGAAAAAAAAAGTAACAAAATTGATAGTCCAAATAGAATTGAATGCAGAATAAATATATATATATATATATAATCCATAAATTATAAATAGCTTAGCACTGAAAGCCAAAATAAAATGATAGAGCTGCCAATAAAAATTGCGAGAGCTTTGAGGTTAATGGGGAGTAACTAAATAAAGCTTAGCTGAATAGAAATCTGCCGCGGACAAGCATCGGGCTTTTACTTTTAAACTTTGTAATTTGTAATCTGAAAATTAAGAATTGTAGAATAGAGTTGAAGAGGACGAAGGAAGATGTCGCTGAAGAAGCCGTCGAGAATGGACGATAACCTTGTAGATGATTATGAAGAGCTTGTTTGGGGTTTTCTTAACAGACAGGCAGATAGATAACATAAGGGTGGATTTAGCTGATAAATAAGGCGACTGGCGTGTTGGCAGTGTGGTTAGCTGGTTGTGTTATGCCTTCAAACACGACCGCTATCGACACTGCAGTTACGACGGTCGCAATAATCCATCAGGATCCCGTCATCTCGTACTTTCTTCAGCCTTCAACTTCTGCTATTTATTTAAGTCGGATACTTATTTGCTGGATTTACAACAACGGATTTTATTCTTAATTAAATTTAATATCAATATCAATTCATTCTTTGCATTATCAAATCTTGTAATCATTAAATATGTCCATCGTCACTTCATCTTCATTTAGCATCCAATAGGCTACATTTATTATTTATTTTTAATTTTATTAAAAATTAGTTATAGCTTTGTGTATTTTTAACAAGAAAGTTTTTATTAAAAATATAGTTTGATATATATAAAATATATATTAATAATTCATAAAATTATAGAAAATAATTTTTACCACAGAAAAAAAGTCAATTGTAATGAATAATAGTCGATTTATAATAAGTAATGATCAATTGGAAAAAATTATTATTTCAAACAGTAAAATCGTGATTTCAACAAGTATATAATTTTTGAACAACTTAATATATTCTTGATCTGAGTAGAAAAATTTTTGATTTAAGAAAATTTTACTTGATTCATAAATTTTTCGTCCTGATTCAAGACAATTACCTTCAAAATTATATTAATGGTACAAAGAACTTCTTTCTTGAATCAAGTTAATTTTTTTTTAGTGTAATATTTATCATTTAAATGCTACAATTTGTTATTTACATGGAAGAAAATACTATTTCAAACAGTAATATTCGCTATGTGAAAGTCGAAACTGTTAAAGTATAATAACTAAGAATTTTGACTTTGATATTTATCATTTCGTACCTAAAAAATGATGTTATGATATGTAAAAAATATAAACTACAGTTACTAAATTTCTATACAAGCAACGTCAATATTTACAAAGTAAAATGGTAAATTTTAAACGCAACGCTAAAAATCAAACTATAATTATTAATTCTAGAGTAGAATTTTTATTGTTTCAAATGTTAAATTCTCCCCTTCTCCTCATAGTATAGACTATATATTGAAACAGTAATTTTTTAAGATGAAAGAGTCGTTATTTACTATAGTGACATTAGCTACTAATCACATTTTAGATATTAAATTATAAATTTTGGCTTTTACACTTTTTACATCAAGTTTTGTAATATTTAGATTTGTGCCGACCTGATGTCCGCTGTACTGTTTGAAACTATATAAATCAACCGGAATCCGAGTGAATTTTACAGTTTACTTTTTTTTCCGTGTGGCCAAATTTTTAATATACTTCAAAATTCAGTATATTACAAATTAATGTACCTAAAATATATTAAAAAACATCTTTGAACTTTATAAAAATATTTAAAAAATTTATTTTAAAGTCTTAAATTTTTAAAGAAGAAATATTGATTTTTATCTACTTAAAAATATATCTTTGGTATATTTTAATTATATATAAAAGAAAATTTTATTAAAATTTAAGTTAAACAATTAATGTTTTTATGTTAAGATGTACTTACTTATTAATTAAAAAAAAAATGTTCATAAAATGAATCAGCAAAGTCAGTTTATGATCCATTACATTCACATATATAATACTCGTAATAAGACAATTTCATTCTATTTATAATAAATAACAGCTCATAATGAAAAGTGAATAAATTAAAATTAATAATTGTCATTGTCTACTTACAGATCCGCCTACGTGTCCTTTGGAGGACTTTTGATGCGATTGCAAGGCGACGCTAACAATCTTCATGGCTTCGAGATCGACCAGAGCATGTACTTGCTGATGAAGAAACTCGCATTTTAAAAAGACCCAAAAAAAATATTTTAATGCACATTTTTATACTTTTATACATTTTATATACTGAAGAAAAAGTACAAAGGGATTATTTTTTTGTTTTGCATTTGATCGATAGATGGAGATATGGATATCGCATGTTCTGCAAAAGTTTATGTTTGCTTTATACATATTCTAGTTAAACATTCTAGCGTATGTTAATATTCAAACCTTGCAACGCAGCCCTAGAGTATGCAAACATATACCTACACGTATATTTACATATGTGTATCACGTCTTGTTGACTTGTCAACAGTATGTTTCTCATTGCCAAATCTGTCCGTTTTATGGCAATAAATATATCATTTGTTTTCTTTTGATTCTTTCTTTTATAATATTTATTAAAATTTGTTTTTAATATTTACAAAATCTTTAATTTTATTTTACAAATGCCAAATTTTTATAATTTTAATTATTTGTAAAAATCTTAAATGAAAACTTATATTATTATTATTATTAAAAATATTAACAATTTTTTTTTAATATTTTTCCTCTATTTTTATAAAAAAAATATTTCAAAAATTCACTAAAATTTATATTAAAAAAATTTTAATTGTAAATTTGAACTATTTGCAAAAATTTTAATTAAAAACTCAAATTATAATTATTAAAAATATTAACAATTTTTTCTTTATTTAAAAAAAAAAATCCAAAAATTCACAAAAGTTAATATTAAAAAAAAATTTAATTGTATTTATAATAAAAAAATTCTCAAACTTAATTTTTTTTTATTGTAAAAAAACAAATAACAAATTTAAACTATTTGCAAAGATTTTAATTAAAAACTCAAATTATTTTTATTAATAAAATTAACAACTGTTTTTTTTATATATATATTTTCTCTATTTTTGTAAAAAATTTTCCAAAAATTTACATTAAAAAAATTTTAATTGTATTTATAATAAAAAAATTCTCAAACTTTAACAAATTTTAAAGTAACCAAAAAAATAAAATTGTGATAAAATTACTTTTAAATAAAATTTGTAATTTTTACTTTTAATAAAAATTTTTTTTAAATAAAATCAATAAAAAGATAACAAATAAAAAAAAAAAAAATTTTAACATAAAAAAAATATTATTCATTAAATAACTCATCACCGAACCTCGTAAATCCTTACCAATAAATCAAGCCCAAAAAACATTTATTTCCCTACTTTAAATATAGCAGTAAGATATATAAATTAATATAATATAAGAAACTAAAATTTGGATGTACACCAATCTCTAAAATAAATAGCCGGTGCATCATAGAGTCTAAATGTGCTGCGTAAATCCGATGAAAATAGGTGCCAGGCACATGCGCTGCATTCTTAATTCACCGACTAACGAGCGCGATGACTGCGGCCCACGATCTTTATGTTAACACTTGAATCCCGGCTCAACAAAAACACCTCGATTGTCATAAAAAAGCTAGTTAGATTCTTCAATAAATATTTATCCGGTTAAAATTTATTATTTGTTTATATTTTGTCTTCTGATGTGCAAAAAATCTCTAAATTATCTTCAATTTCTTCTTATCTACTAAAAATACATTTTTACATCTATTTTATATTAAAAAAAAATAATTTTTAATAATAACTGCAAAAAAGCAGCATTAAAAATATGCAGGAGTCAATTAGAGAGTAAGAGCTAATTTATGTAATTAAACTTGCGCGACATGTGACCTTGTACGGTTGATCGCGAAGCCCTCGTACATTGCAATGCACAATAGGACAGCGCGTGGGTTGGCGCACGCTCTTTGTAATGCCAGAGCAATAGTATAGAAGACTCCGCAAGAACTAAACCGAAAGAGAAGAATAATAAATAATACTGCAAGTAGAGTCTGATGAAAATAAAAATATTTAAATCTTCTCAAGATGGCAGCCATAGATCTCTTCGTCCGCCATCTCGTAATTCTCAAAATTATGCAATCACAAATGCCAGTAATAAGCGCCTAATCCTAAATAGATTGCCCCAGTGACACATATAATGCTCGGTTAACTTTTGCGCAGTCCATTTCTGTAATTGAACGGAGCAAAGTTTAAAAATTCATCTTTTTACCAATTCTCATTCGCCATTTTGTCGACATTATTCTAAGCTATTGTTTTTATCTCTATTCCCAGTCTATTACATCAATTTATAAGGTTTTATTATGTAAGAGTTTGCGTTTATTATGAAAATTGCAGTATCTGATTGTTATAAATTAGATTTATTAACTATCAATTGCATTATGTTAATAGAATATTCCAAGTGGGTTCTTTTGCATAAGAGCGTACCTTTTATGGCGCGCTGATAGCTGCTGGCATCTCGCGGGTTTTTAATGTAACTCTTCTTTTCCAGGAAAATTTCTTTATCATTTGTCGTAAAAGTGAGAAATTTTTGGAAAAAATTTTTTTAGCTCATGATAATGTTGGATAATTTAAATTTAACAAATTATTGTTTTTATCAGAAGGATAAAATTGAATTATTAAATATATCTAATATGATAAAACAAATTCACGATCTTTCCGACTTTTTAAAATAAATTTTTTTTATGTAACTAAAATGAGGAAAAAATTCTAAAATTAAAAATTTCCTTTTCGTATTCAAAAATTTATTATGTATTTTGTCTACTGATGATATTTTTAACGATATAAGCTCATCGTGGAGTTACACTTATCGAGACCTTTCATTTGAATACCCACACGATTTTTTTCGTATATTTTATATATTCCACAAATATGAGAAATATAATATAAATAAAATATATGAAAAAATTCATGTGGGTATTCAAATAAAATGTCTTGACAAGCGTAACATCAGAATGAGCTTATATCTTAAAAAATGTCAATAATTAAGGAATGATTGTGTATTTTTTTAATAATATAAGCTAATACTGATGGAGTTACACTTATCGACACCTTTCATTTGAATATCCACATCAATTTTTTCATATATTTTATATATATGATATTTCTCATATTTGTGAAATATATAAAATATATGAAAAAATTCGTGTTGGTATTCAAATGAAAGTTCTCGATGAGCGTAATGTCAGGATAAGCTTATATCTTAAAAAATGTCAATAACTAAGAAATGACGTTGTATTTTGTCTATTTATGATATTTTTAACGATATAAGCTCATCCTGGAGTTACACTTATCGAGACCTTTCATTTGAATACCCACACGAATTTTTTCATATATTTTATATATATGATATTTCTCATATTTGTGAAATATATAAAATATATCAAAAATTCGTGTGGGTATTCAAATGAAAGGTCTCGATGAGCCTAACATCAAGATGAGCTTATATCGTTCAAAATATCATCAGTAGACAAAATACAACGTCATTTCTTAATTATTGACATTTTTTTAGATCAATATGCAATCATATGCAATTTTTTTACAAAATTTGTTCAAAAATGTGTAAAAATTTTAGTCACAAATGACTCATCTTCCGAATCCTTAGATGAGACTCTAACCTGTCAAGCATAATACAATATTCAATAAAAAAAAAAAAAAAAAATAATTATCTCGAAATCCAGTGAAGTGTAAACAGAGGATCGATAGTACTCGAAAATATTTATACAGTTCCGAAAATAGAAGCCCTAATCCTAAAACAATAAGATATATACTCGAGAATCGACCACACATTCTCCTCTTTTGTCTCTTCTCTTCTCTTCTATTCCGGCGGTAGGGCAAGCTATAATTTAATTCAATTGTCGAGTCACCGGGTGCTCCCAGTTCCGAGTTAAGAAGCATCAAGCACCAGGCTGGGGGTGAGGGGGCGCGGCCACCCCAGGAGATTAGAATTATCGACAACGATTGTATGTCTTCCAAAAATACTTAGAGTCACTTCCGACGGTGATTAACAGAAGTCGTTCATCGAAAAGTGACGAATCGAGGATGTACCAATTGCATGATTAATCATCTATTAGATGTCCCAACATTTTTTTTTTTTTTCAAGGGACATGCAAGCAAATCAATAAGTCGATCTTTTTTCGTGCGACAGATATCGACTAATATAAATACAAATATAAAATATAAAAATATAGAATAGAATATATAATACACAAGGACCGTGTATTTCAAGTGGTCTCGATTGATTGGTAGTCGTAGTATAGGGTATAGTAATATTAATTTGTTCCAAATCAGTGCATCATGTCAAGGGAAGGGACCAGAGCAGAGAGCACGCAACTTTTCACACACATAAACACATTTATAAAGTATACGTATTATAATCTAATGGCTTTCACAGCTGGAAACATTTTTCATCGTTATTTCTGATTTAATAAATATAATCGCCTATATGTACTAGTAATTTTTTGTTCTTTTCTTTACGCTCTATTTTTTTTTAAACACTATTCAAACTCAGTTTGTTTTGTACTCAATAATAATTTTTGTGTTTATTTCTTCAAGCATGTACGCCTTTTCACAATGTTTAATCGTTAATTTTGTTTTTTTAAATATTTTACATAACATAATAATAACTTCCGTTTTTTTTATTATTTATGATCAGTTTCACACGAAATTTTACTTAAAATGCACCTAAGCTAAAAATAGCACTTTGGTTAATAAATCACGGTAATTTTTATAAGATAAACTTTTGCCGCTAATCTTGTACTTGAAAAAAAAAAAAAAAAAAAAAAAAAATTGTGACAAGAAATTAATTTTATTTCTTAGCTAAAAAAATTAGAATTTTTTTTATAGTAATTTTCTTGTTGAAAATTTTATTTTGATTTAGAAAAATAATAACTTGCGAATTTTCATTAAAAATTTTTTTTTTCAAATTATGACATGACTTATGACTATTTTCAATAATAGACCCTTAAAACTGTATTAATATTTATAGTTATCAGAAAATACTTGATAAAAAATTGAAATACAGTAGTAATTTTTAACATACTCGCTATAATATTTTCCAAGAAATCTAGCATAGTATATTCACGATTTTTCTCCAGAGGTCACGGCATCGATCCTTCTCCCCGACTCGGATAAATAGACC